CTAGATCACCTCGACGCGTCGCATGGTAGAGTCGGGTACGAACTACCGCCATTACTTGCTTGGTAGAGCGCAACGAGGAGTCGACTGTTGTGTTTCGTTCGAAGTTTCTAGCGTGGTCACTCTCCTGGAAGGCTCCGGTCTGCATCATGATGTGGTCTCGATAGCGAGCAAAGTAGTAGAGCACCACAAACGGCCCGAAGTAACAAATGAACGCTCCTAGTGCGAGTATTTGCGGTACAAAGCTGTTGCAAGTTGTGGACGCGCTCAACGAACCCGGGATGAACATGGCCGACGTGACGTGGTGGAGCAGTACATACACGGCCAATAACTCGGTTAATTGGAACACGAGGCCGCGCTGAATCGTCCGTGAGATTGTAGAGGGGTGATCGTCTTCTCCCACCATTTTAGCGTTGTCTGCAGTGGTCGAGCTCTTCCGGAATGGCTCAAATAGTCTCAAACTGGATAACGGCAGAAGCAGCACAACAACGTACGGCAGTGTTGTGAAGATTGGAGCCGAAAGTGTTATCATGGAGTGACAGCTATCGAAAGTGTCCAGATTATCAGTATCGAAGCGTGGCGTGCTGAGGAGTCCAGCTACCAGACCCAGTGAAAGTATCAGCCCGGAGCACAGAAGTCGACGTGCAAATAAGGAATTGTTAAGGACTCGAAGCCAGCGCCAACGGAACGGAATCGTCCACAACTTTCCATGACAACTTTTGAAGATTCCTGCGTGGGGCGGTAGGCATGATGGTGGGCAGGGTTCCCGAAAAATGTATTTACCGGAAATATATCGAACAAATTTCAGTAAATATCTTATTTACGGATGTTATCGGCTGACGTTGTGTATTTTAGGATTTTGTGTGTACTTGTACATAACTTATTTTTTATCGTCCCAACCATTAAAAATGGTTGGTTTTGAGAGTGCAGCAGTACTTGCCTTTTGCCAACCATTTCTCACTCTCCCATTTGCATCGAGATACCTCAACCCACCCCCTCCACGCTCACTCGCCATGCCCTCCTCCGTCACGCCGTCCCAGCGCTCAAAGAGCAAGTACACCCCCAAGCAAGTCGCCTCCTTCTACTTCAAGCCCTACTTGACCGAAGATGGCGAGCCAACCGGGCTGCAGGTCTGTAAGGCTTGTGGTAAAACACGCAAATTTGTGGCCAAAACTGGGTACACCAACTTGGTGTCCCACGTGCGGTCTGACCATGACCACTTTGAGGCCGAGATGGATGCTGCCAGTGCTGCAGCGACGGGCACACTGCTGCCATGGGTCCGCCAGAAAGCGTCCAATCGCTATGCCTGGCTAACATGGATCGTGAAGGGCAACCTCCCATTTTCCTTCGTGGAGATGGAGACGACGAGAAGGTACTGTTCAGAATTTGCTACTCAATTTGATGTTTTAGGCTAACACTGTTTCTATTTATGTAGCTACACCAATTTGCCACCTGTGTGCGAAGAGACGATCTCTCGCGACATGGAGAAAGTCACGAAGGCGGTGGAGCAGCGAATCGGTGCCGAGCTGCCGGACAAGTTTGGGGTCATTCTTGACGGATGGAGAGCACTACCTGGCCGTGTACGGCTGCTACGACGTGCATTGCGTGCGCAAGTGCCCCCTGCTCTCGTTTGCCCCGATCATTAACGGGCTCGATGACCGGCTGAACGCGGAGAGTCACATGACTGCACTAGCTGCTTTTTTTTTTTGCCATTTTTGGTAATAACCTTTCTAACATCATGTTCGTTGTTGGAGACAACTGTGCAGTCAACAAGCGCTTGGCCCACCTCATGGGTGTTCCGCTTGTTGGCTGCGCCAGCCACCACCTGAATTTGGCGGTGCGACGGTTTCTGGAGCCGTATGAAGAGGATCTGGAACAAGTCCAAACGCTAGTGAGGCGGCTACGCACGATCACTCAAGCTTCCAAGCTGCGGTAAGTGTTTTTAAAGTCTTATTTGATTTTAATGTAAATACTTATATTAACTGTTTTGTGAAACAGACTGAAAACTTCACTTCGTCCGAAACTTCGCAACGAGACGCGATGGGGGTCAACATTCGCGATGCTGGATCGCTACCTGGCT